CTTCAAAACACACCGAGGAGTGCACACTCGAGATATTTGGAGCGCACACTCGAGAGGAATAGGAGTGCACACTCGAGAGCTTCCCCTTAGTGGGCGCGTTGCCTTCGAAGACAGACTACCGCATCCAGCGGACAAATAACCGGATGTCTACAAAGCCAGCCGTCTGTCCAGGCACGCAGCATGTCGACATCTTGGCACGTTTAGCTGCCTGGGGCTCTTGGTCGAGTCGAAATTGTTACGTTGCGCGCTCCGTCCTATGTCCGCCATGCCGGTGTGGGTGTGCTCGGTGCTTTGGGCATCAGGCCCATCACAGGACAGCTGCCACTTTTGCAGCAAAGGTTAATGCTGTGAACAGAACGAGAGCAATCGACGTAGGCTGCCAACAGAATGAAGCCCATGCTTCGAGCTTGAGACCTGAATTTCACCAATTTAACAAACCTCTGAACAAAAGCCCGGCTGGAAGTCCTTTGAAGAGATGAGCATCAAATGAACACCAGATTCGCAGACAACAAACGTCAGAAAACCTACACGCGTGAAAAGACAAGCCGAGGTCAGGTGCATGAACGATGCTGCGTATGATTGACAATCAACTGCCATGAGATAGGAAAGGCCTGCCGTTCTACACTGATGCCTTGATGGATAAGGGCCGTTGCAAACTTAGGGCGGTCACTTGCAACTAAGTGTCGGACTGGGCATAAACTTCTGTCTTGGGGCCTCACATTGCAGCACCCCGCTCCTGCACACGGAAAACAGTACATGGCATTGCAAGCCAGGCGGCCTTGTCTGCAAGCTCTTTGAGAGTGCAGTTGGCCTTCGTAGTTTGCCAAGCATCTCAACGGCCCACCACTATCTGCCACATGCTTGACTGACAATGGGAAAGTTGTTTGTACACCTATCTTTCTAGCAGGACCTGCGCGTAAGGCAAAGAATAAGAGGACTTTAGGAAGAGAAGACCCGGCCACCCTGAACATGAAGTCAAGCTGACAAATGCCAGGTTCTCCGCCAAAAGCTACAGCAAGTACAAGACACCCATTGCCTGTCCAAATTGCAACCCAGCATGGGCGCAGTACTGACGCCCGGCGCCGAAGGGTGCCCAAGGGTGCAAGGCGCAACAAACGCATGAAATGCCCAGATGCTTGGACACAGAACATAGGAAAGAACAGAGTCTGAAACTATGCAAATGAAGACAAGTGCACAAACCACGCACGGGTGGACTTTACATGCCGAACACTCCAGTCCCACTACACTTCACACTAGACACGAGACCGCTTATCAAGCTGAGAAGTCCAAATTGGTTTCCTTGTGTTGCTTCATTTGGTCCCTGTGGGGGTGGCTCTGAACTGCGCTGTGCACGGTTTGAGAAACCTGGAACCTCTTCGACTGGGACCCGCAGCACCTCCACCAAACAACTGCCACACCTAGAACTCAGCTGGAGTCAGCGCTCTCTGCAAGGGGCGCTCAAGTAAGGGGTGTTCACCAACTGCAGGTCTTGGTTTTGGCAAGGTCAAGCCGTTCAGCGCTTACGAAACCACAGACCATGCTAGGTTCAAAGGAGGAAACTCCCCCCTCCCCCCGGAAATTTTCCTGAATCCCACACTTCCTACCATTTAGTCTATCCTTCTGTCTGTTATTTGCGAATATGATTACGAAAAAACGCCCTGTTCCATTCAGGACTCTTAATTAGGCGTGCTACCAAGAAGTCTGATCAAATTTGTTTATACAAAAGACTTTCATTAGAAATGGGATCAATAAATACAGAGCTGTGAACGTTGATTGCGATTCGCCCGAAAAATTCTGTTGGGTATTCTTACTAGGAGTACATGAAAACTTTTCGAGGCCAACTACTATAACTGACTTCAATGGGCTAGTATGATAGAATGAAAATTCAAAGTTAAGGCAAATATGGCCGAGTAGCAGCATTCGATGTATATCATCAGGGTTGGAGGCGCCTGTTAGTTATGAGTTGAGCAACCCTGTTAAAGAGCGCCGGCTGAGGATTGAAAAGAGCCTCCACGGCTTCAGAATGAAGAGCCAGAGGATCTCAGACTAAAACACGAGTCTTCGAACATGTGTCATTGGATAGATTATGCACCCTTAATGCAGTACTGCAGCACTTCCAAATGGTGGTCGCCAGTAATGACCATCATGACGGACGTGTGCCCCTTTTCGTACCCGTAAGGTGCTGGACATCGGGCCCGTATCACGGACAGTTGACCCAGGTTTGCGCAATGCCTCGAAAGACTTGGGCGCACTGCTGTCAGCTGACCCAGTTCGCCTGTGTCCTCTTGGCCCTCTGTTTGTGGGCACTGTAATTGAGGTGACGGGGGTAAGCGTTGGGGCCTGGAAACATCGAAGGTTGTCCGCGCCTCGGCACTGAGGTCATAGTTCCGGATTGATGTCTGGTTGGACAGTCGGGCAAACTAAACTTGTTCTCTAATTCTACGTGTGATTGGATTCTCTACACCTCTGAGGCACAATCCTCTACGTTTGCTGGCTGTCTGACGGATCAATGGGAATCTTGCATGCTGGACACTGATATGATCTACTGCGGGGCCTTGGCTTCACCGTCCGGTGCTGATGATCTGCCTTGCGCATGTCCCAGATCTTGCCAGGGCGCGGGATTTCGCAGCTTGGGAACTGGAGCTTGTGCCGGCGGACTTGTGTTTAGGGGTTTGACAGCACTTGTCAGAGTCTTGATCTCTGAATGCTACTGAGACGGTGGTCTTGTGGTCCTCCGGCTTGTGCATGTTGACTGCTGTGGGAGCTCGGTGCTGCGCAAACCTGTGAGGCATATACAGAAGCATATTGAATTTCCAAACTCAACGGACCACACGCCGACCAAACATACACAGTTTATGCCTTGTTTGCAATCCAAAAGGAGAAGGGAAGCTAACACGCAGGGCCTGGTCGCCCCTTCGCCCACTTCGTCCGGTTGGGGAGATGCTGCCGCAGCGGGCTGAGGCGCATCGCCAGCGTTAAGTCTGCCCCTTTCCGGTGCCATCTTTGGCGAAGGTGGCACCCTCAGCGGTCCTCGATGTTCGCTTCTTGCGCTGCCTGGTCTGCGGTGCTCCAAGCGAATTTGGCGCCGCAGCTGCTGCTCAGTGATCTTGAACTGCGCTACAAGCCTTTCTTTCTCCTGGCACAAGCCATGCCGCAAAATCTTTACCAATTTAGGCGTTACTCGGGTTGATACGTGGAACTTCACAAACCTGATAAGCTTTCAAGCCCACTACTGCCAGCCATCTCTCTTGACTTCTGGAGCGCATGGTGAAGCATAGGCAGTGACAACATCAAGATATTTGGAACAAGACCGGAAAAATTGCTGCCGTGGCTGCCGCGAGTCCGCTTGTTGCTTCCGCAAGTCTTCCAGGTGCCGCGCCCGCTCCTTCAGTGTTGACTCCGTGCTTCGGGCAGTGCTGCGTCGTTGCTCGAGCAAGCTTTGAATCTCACTGCGAAGTTGTCTCTCTTCCTCGATCTGGCATTCCTGACGATGTTGGTCCTGAGCTGCTTGCTTCTTGGCATCTTCGCTGTCTAGACGTGCGTGTAAGTGCTGACGACGAGATGTCATCTTCTCGCGATTCTGGAGGGCCTCCTGAAGCCTTGCTGTGGACTCATCGATTTGCTTAGCCAGGGATGAGTTTTTCATTTGCCACACTTCCAATTCAGCTTCCAACCTTTCCACCTGTCCAGGTACGCAGGTTTTGCCTGATAGCAAAGGAGAACACTCTGCACGTGCAGTACAGGCCTCCTTCGATGCTCTTGCATTTCCGTCAGCGTTCAAACTGCCAAGCTCTCCTCCTCCAGCACGCTCGGCTGCTCTTGCCATGCTTCGCTCTCGCTTGTGACTTTCTCTTTGCAGATTCTTAAGTCTTCGCTTCTCAAGCTCAAGTGCGGATTCCACCTCGCAAACATGTCACATGTTCAGGGCTCAACAGCACCCGTTCATGTTTAAAGGGACAGCACCAAAACCTGCGAGCACAGCTGAACTGCATGGTGCATGTGTTCATGCTCTGTTGCATTCAGCTTTCACCGCTTGGTCATCTTTATGACTGCTTGCTTCGAACCCTGTACTCTGAGAGCGAAAGTGCGTGTGATGACGATGGTCCACCGGCGGGCTCTCCTGTGGGAAAAAAGGGCCGCAGGAGAAACAAGGCCAAGCAACCGCGCGAGAGTGGGAAATCGGCGCTTTGAGTGTTGGCACTACGGCGGGACAGTCGTCCCTCGTGCGAGCGGACAATGTCTTGAGCATTCCAACCCAAGACTGCTGCAGCAACACGCAAGAACAGAAGGGTGTGAAGGCTCAATTTGTGTCATCTCCTTCTTTGGCTTAGTTGAAGCACTTTTTCTGTGCCATGGCCTCGCGCATCTGGGCAACTGATGAGGCCGTGGGCGTGTTGAAAGCGGCTTCAAAATTGACGGCTGGTTGCTTTTGTGTAAATTCAATTGTTTTGCTCGTTGCTGCTTGTGGACGGCCATTGCTGCCTTGGCCCTCTAACCCGTCGTCTGTGTATCGGACATACTGCTGCAGAGTTGGGCAGGTAGCTGACCTGTCTTAAGGGATCTTCTGGTGGAGTTCTGAGGATATGGCCCACTACATCTTTTTTGCTGCGCCAACTCTGAGAAAAGCTTGATTTCGCTAGACTCGTTTGTGCGATTCCTGTTGATTTCTTGGTTTGCGTTCTGAATTACCTAGGCATTGATGTGAGCGCGATTCATATGTGTGCTCTGCACGTTGTGGATCTTTCTGAGGCCCGTGAGTTGGAAAGTGTTGACCTTTTTGCATTTGATTGCGTGTGTTGGATGGTCTCCAAACCATACAACAACTTGTTCTTTGTAATCGCATCATAGACTTCTACCTTCCACTTGGCGGAGCAAGCTGCTGCTGTCCAAAATGGTTCCAGCTTATACCACGGTATCGACGTTTTCTACATTTAGCAATCGAGTTCGTGTTTAACCTTCATGTTATGGGTGATCTGGTGACCTAGATAAGTTGCTTCCGTAGCCTCGAACTCCTTGCCGTTTCTGCTTTTGTGCCGGCGTTTTTTTTTCAGACTTTCCAAAACATGGTTTCGCTCATCTTTGTTTGCGCTGACTGAAATGTTGCGATTCAGGTCTATGACTTCTATGCTACGTCCTTGCTCACACGCAGCCTGTCTTTTTTCTATGAGGTCACATGTAATTCTAGAAATATATCCCCGCATATCCCCGCTTATGTCTACGGCTGAGCGTAGTGAAGGAGCATGCTGCTGCTTAAGAAATTGTTTTTAGTATATCCTTCCATTCTTGCATCGGCTCTGTTTTGTTTTCTGCCCTTTAACATCTGGTTATAGGCGTGCCATTCTGCGTTGGTTGCTCGTTCCTTCTTGTGGGTGTTGGAAGCACTGAGGCTCACAGCAAAAAGAGCTTCGACAATGTGATGGTCCAACGGAAAATAGATATCCGTTCTAGCTTGGACATCCTTGCAGCTTTTAACAAAATGTTTGTCGGCCGACCAGAAATCTAGCTGGGCATATCACGTAGGCGTCCATGCACGGCCGTGTTTTCTCTAAATGTACATTGGTGACAAGGCCTCTTGAAGAAAAAAAAAGTTCAGGACGTCGAAACCACTGTGCTTGCAAAAGTAAAATTACTGAAGACTTTTTCTCTAAAGTAGGGTCGGCCACTGTTCCCAAATAATTAGTCAAGCCCCCTACCGAACACATGCGGGCCGAGAACGTCCTCTTCGGAGTGAAGCCTGTAGTGGAGTCTGGCATTCATATCGCCCCCAGAAAATGCACACCACGAACACGATCACAATGAAGGATAAGCACTTTGGGGCAGAGGGACCTCCTGAATTTGTTATCCCACAGCAGAGGTCGAAGGACTGGTAAACACCACACTCTAGTTGATAGCGAGGTGGGCCACACCAAAGAAGCTAAGATGCCGAGATGGATTGAGCTATGGACGACGCTGAACGGGCAAGAAGATTTGTATGCACTGTGATGCTAGAGCTTTCGTTGCCAGCACGATCTCATGACCGTGTTGTACAACCACTGAGTGTTTTGCACGATCCGTGGTGCGTTTTACATGTATTGCAGCAGTTGGCTTGACGGTATTTGACATGGGCCTTCGGCAGTATGTCAAGACGAGGCACTTTGTGAATGAGATTGCTTGGCGGCTACTTTCTCAGGGAAAGATTATGGCTGGTCTTTCGGGTTGATGAGTACCTCGCGGGCCTGCGCACAGCAAATAGTTTTGGTCAGGGCCTAAGAGTCTTGTTACCCCCAACCCCAAGATGACCTGAGTTCCAATTCGGGGCCGCGCCATCCTTTTACGGAGAGCGCACTGCCTCTTGAGGCAAGCCGCATGGTGCATCCCATTCGGAAGTTCAGAGCTGAGACCTAGTAAGCCAGACGGTAGGGAACTTTCCTGCTCTGCAAGAAACCTCCCCACAAGCTGCAAAATAGGTAAACAGTTTACCTCAACCCCTCCGTAAAGTTTGCGGTGGGGGCCCAGCTTGCCGACCCATAACCACTTGAAGGCAAGCCAATCACTCACGTGAACCAAGTCCGGGGTCTCAAGCCCGGGCCTAAAACTGGGTCTCAAACAAACAACTGCCGATGCTGTCTCGGGATGAAATCTATATGCGAGTGACATTCTGCGAATGTTGTAGCTTGCACGGGTCCACCGTGATTACCAAACTGGATCCTGCATTGTTTGCGCTCACCGCTTCTTCATAAAAGGCTCTGCCTGGCGAAGCTCTGCAAATAAACTCCGTTCGGCATCTTCGTCCCCCAGCAGATGCTGCAAGTGCGAATGCTCCCGTTCGCCTTGGGATCTTGGACTGCTAAGTCGTCTATGCATCTCAAGGATGGCCAGGACCAAAGAAATTCAAAATGCAGACAAGATGCAATTCTTCAGCTGCTGTCGCGCCCACCTTAAGTCCTTGTCGCCACCTTAGTTTCCGAAGATCGGCCGCGTGATCTTTGAATTGAGAAATTGTATGGCTGTGTGTTGTAAGCGCTGCACGCAACACGGAGAGTTCGCGGATGGGCACTTTGCCGTGTGCAACACGCGTTCTGCTGCGACCACTTGCCATACCACGGCCGCTGCCGCGGCCCTTCGAATCTTGTCTGGGTACTATCTCTTGGGCGACCTGAAGCTGCTGCTCTCGCTTCCACGTGGCTTGTACATTCTGGCAGAAATCTGTACGTGGTTTGGCGACTTAGCAAGGAGGTGCAAACTGCAATGGCACGAGCTTGCAGGAGTTGCAGTTTGCCGACGCGAACATCTGACAATTCTCACTCAATCAGCCAGGCGTCATCCAAGTGCTGCGTTAACAACTGCTGCATCTCCTGCGCACAGCAACTGGCAATCTTGGACGCTGTCCGGCACAAAAAAAACCTTCAGCCATCGCTTCAGCAGCACTACAGCTCCCACGCCCCAGCCTGCATGTAATGCTCCAGCCGGACTGTTTCCTGCAACCAGCCAGAGGCATCTGCTGGAGGCCGCGCTGTCTGTTGGAGCAAATGACCTTCAATTTCGTCGATAAGCTGCGGAAGCCTCTGTCCGCTTTGGCTTGCTTCGTGCGCAGAACTCGTGTATTTGTCAAATGAGCCATGCTGCGGCGGCTCGGACTGGGGTCTGTCTTTGGACTGGGCTCGCAGACCTAGGAAGAAATCGGTTCGGGCAATCTGAGATGGTTACAACCTGTTCTGTCCGACTCTTCCCCTTGCGTTAGGAAAAATGCTCAAAACAACTGCAATTCAATTTCTGGGGGGCACACATAACAGGGGAGCTTAGTCTCTTCAGTGAAGGAACAATGACGGGCTGCGTGGCCTCGGGTATGCTATCCGAGCTGCCATCCTTTCTCCGAAAATTAAGGGTGGGTTCTCGGCTCCCTAGAATCGTCAAACGTGGAGGAGGCGGTTCTTCAGTTCCTGACGTGAAGATCTAAAGGAAAGATAAGAGGGCCAACCTAGTGGCTCATGAAGCCAGGTGTGGTATTGAGAGCGTGTCTGCCAAGAGAAAAAAGAATGCAAATCCCCAATATTCTCAGCGAGGAAGCACCACGCCACTCACACCGATCTCTCTTCCCCTTCAGGCGGAAAAAGGAACAGTCTCCTTTTTCTACGAGAGCTCTCGGTTGCCAAAAAAGTCCAAGAAAGGGAGGTAATGTTTTGACTCTGAATGAAGCAGTTCGAAACCAAGAAACGGATTGATGGGAACCACAAATGTTATTCTTTGCGGTCTTGTCCTGCATTCTCCAGCGCAAGAAATCACGGCGCGTCCTTCTCAAGTCATTTTTGCGTTAACGAAATTAGTCCTTGTAACCAGTACTACCACCTCCGTCGCGCTTTACCATTCCGACCACCCCTGCTTCCCGTACTGCTTGAAACATACTTCCTACTCCTTTTGCTCTTACTCTCGCACTGATTCCTGCTATGAATTAGGAATGCCGTTAGCTTGAAACAACAATGCTAAGGGCAGTCGCTATCAGTGACATGAAGATTCCAGACCCCTGATAGTTACAGTAGCACTGTTGATAGGTCTTGAATAGTGGGCAAAAAAGGTCCGTCGGGCAAACCGCTCGATGAACCCTTTGGTGGATCTTTGACAGATGGTAGGCAAGTGGCTGGGCTGCTGCTTTGGTTGTCGTGGTCTTGTACATACCCCAGCGGCCAAGGCTTCGCCTAGCAAGCGTCTTTCCCCCAAATTTGATCCGTGCCAGGCCAGCGTGCCCGACTCAGCCAGATTCTCATGGCTCCTTTCCACAGAAGCGCTGCTTCCTCCTGTGCCTTGCTCTGGCGGGTAGCTGCCTGAAGCTTTCATGGCACCTGCTTCTGCCTTGCTGTGGCTAAAGGACTCCTCTGGGTGTTGCAGGACATCAGGTCGCGCATCATACGGTGTCCAGCAAAGGCCTGCCGACAACGCAGACCTTGCTTGGACAGGCGTTGCCGGCAAGCACTTCCAGTACAGAAGGTAAGGCTTTGCAGCAATGCCAAGGCACGCTTCAGCAGCCGCACCACCACGGCTCAGAGGACTCTCTTGGCTGGCACCGCAACCTCTGCTGCTGAGCAAGCCACAGTCTGTGCTTAAAACATCATAAAACTAATGCGCCCCATGCACGCCAGCTAGCTGTGAGCCCGTTCCAGGTCACGCTCTGCTAGCGGCGATGTACCAGTTCGAGTCAATGAGCGCGCCTGCAACCAAAGCGATTCTTCTGCTTAGTTGGCATGCAACATGTTCTGCAAAAGAAGCACGTGTTCAACCCCAAGCGTGCCAACACGTTCTCTGAGCTGGATCTTGCAATGGAGTGCTGCAAGCTTTCCAGGTTGGCAGCTGGGTTTCGCGGCTCCGGTGTTCGGACATGTCGCACCACGCCTGTCCCGCAGGCAGGTGTAAATAGTTAAGCAAATCTAAGCAACCTTTTTTATGGCAGACTCCCGTAAGTTGCTGCACAAGCTACTCGGGGAAGACTCGAGCACTGGTGTTGGAACAGATCTTGCTGCCAACGATCGAGCACTGCCGGAGCGGCTGTTGGGATCTGCACAGCCGGAACCGGCAGTGATGTCGGCAACGCGAACCTGGAGAGTGCAGGAGTGGATTTGCGGCTGAGTTGGAGGAAGTAGCTTCATGGCCTGTCCGCGCCCCGGCTGGGGAAGCTTCACGCGAGAGATTACAGGTCTTGTTGGGGTTGGACGCCCTGATGCCATGGCCGCTACCTGCAGAAGCACCGTCGGGCCGTCGGGCATGTTCATATTCCCAAAGGCTATTCCGAGAGTAGGCTTATAGAGGTTGACAAATCTAAATAGGAAGTAGCGCAACAAAACACACACGAAGGGAAGCAAATTGCTTTGCCCAAGTCATCACCTTTGAAGGTCGGCGCCAGGCAGCATTTCCTCCCGCTCATTTCTGGCCATACAAGCTACAGCACTTGAGCCAGCACCTGACTGTGAGCCACCAGTTGTGCCCGCAACAATACCCACCAGGTGGTGAGGAAATGCATTCCACTGGGTAGATGGCTTCGTGTCTACCAAAGCCGCCCTGAGAGAATTCAGCAAGTGACTCGCACAAATGTGACCAAGTGCATTCTGCTCCTCGGAGCTTGCAAAACACAACACAGACTCATCTTCTATGGGACTCACATGGCTCACGCACCCCCAACACCCACACAGCGCTCTCTCTCTCTCTCTCCCTCTCTCGTATCATGGCACCACTTGCTTGTGGACTCCTCAGGTACGAGTCGAAAGCTGTTTTTCACTTGCTCGTACCCGCCATCCCGCATTGGCCAGGCTTTCTGGCACAGCCAGCTGGAATTGTGGCCCATGAAACCAGCAGTAAACCTGTCCTGCTTAACAGGCTGGAGCTGCTGCAGTTCCTGTTGCGCTGTAGATGTCACTACCTTGGCCGCCATGTGGATTCTGGCGCCATAGCACCTTTGCCAATTGAAAGAGGCGGTTGCTCAATCTGCGAGCTTGGAATCGTTTCCTGGGCTTTCCCAGTCGCAGCCGCAGATGTCTCTATTCTGGGTTGAGGAGGAGGCGGAGGTGCCGGCCCAATTCCAAGGCGTGCTGCTGCGTCTTGGTTGTCGAGAGCTTGCAATTCCGTCTCAATGAGCATGCTGACATGCGTGAGGTCAGCCAAGCCATCGCGGGTGGCCGCCTCACTGCAGAGGCAGAGCTTGCAAATTTTGCAATCGCCAAAGCGCCAAAAGCGAGTCTCTCTTTTTGGCGTGCCTCAACTAGCGGCGCGGCATGCCGCAGGAGTGCACGTGCGGTGTCCCGTCTCTGGGAGGCAGCGACCTTCAGCATTTTACACTTGTAAAGCATTGCACTTTGCGGGTAGGATAACGACAGTGATGAAAGCCTAAACCCCCCAGACAATACTCACATTTCCTGCATTCAAAGATGCCCTAGCATCTGGATCTTAAGTTTGGTGCAGCCGCCTAGAAAAGCACCCAACAAGCTTTGATTTGTAGAAAGGTCGAGAGGCATCATGTATTGCCAAAGCAGGCTGTGGACGACAAGCTTGAACTTTTCAGACTATTGCACATGACTTGGCGGAAGCTCCAAGAGCACGAGCCCTGATTCGGAAGACTATATGACGCAGTATGAGCATGTGTTGGACTTGCCTGTGCAGCTGCATCACCTGTCGCTTGGCTGCACAACACTAGTGCGCGGGCCATCCGTTCGAATAGCACCTGGCCAAACAGGACTCGAGAGGAGAGAAAGGCAATGTAAATCTTCAACTTAAGCGAGCCACGCCGCAGTTTCCATCTTGGTCAAGCCCACGGTAATGCCTGTAGCTGAGAAGTTGGTTTCCAGCACGATTAACATCTCTTCTCGCGTTGCATGATGCGAGCGAAGAAGAAAAAGAATGGTAAAATAACGAAATGGAAACTCCCACAAAAATCCAATCACTCAAGGGAAAGCACGAGACACGCTCCTGTGACAAGTCTACGGTCTACGGCTCGCCGCTGCCTCTTGCCGGCGATGTTGTGCTTATGTTCACCGGAAAACATCCCCACTATTCGTTCCTGTTGCTGCTCCTGCTCTTTCGAGAGCATGCCTCGTGGTGTACTTCGCTGCATTTGCTGCAGGATTTTCTTGTCAGCCCGTGCTCAGCGCTGTGCTGGCCAGACGGCCAGATGGGCGTACCCAGTATGGTGACTGACTCATCGCGATCCTCTGTGTTAAAACCTGCTACTTCCCACATTTGCTACCTGTGCTTCATCGCTAGCTTCCCCTGGTTCACGCTTCAATGCTTCGGCCACGTATAACATTGCTAAACCTTAGCAACACACAGAAATGCACAGAATGATGTGCCCACAAGCCTTGTTGTTCCATTCTTGTGGCAGAACAGCACAACCGCTGCATGCGGGGTGCACCCTGAGGCCACAGCATGTTTCTGACGGCTGCTTGGATCGGCATTTCCAGGCGCGCGAGCTCCGCTGTGTCAATCTCCTTTGTGATGGGGATCTCCTAGCATGGGCCATTATTCCGTGTCCGGGCAAGCTGACTCTATCGCAGGTCAACCAGGCTTGCCGCGCGCCACAACGCGTGCTTGTGAATATGGGATCTGTTGCTCGCAAACAAATTGTTTGTTGACGGCTTGCAGAAAAGCATGAAATGCTGGCCTGCCAATTTCTATGTATTTCTATGTGTGTGTGCGAGCGATCATGAATTGCTTGGATGAATGAACGAAAGGCACTCTGCACATCTCTGCACACTGGCGCTAGCCAGAATGCGAATGGCACGGCGCCCTGGCTGGGGCACGTACCCGCTGGCCCTACTGTAGATCGACGAGTCTTTTTCGCATACTCTGTGGTGTCACGGCTTCAGCCAGTCGAGGCGCGAAACACATTCTGCAGGTGGCAAAGTGTCTGAAAGTGCCCAGCACTTCTCGGAAAGTGCCAAGGCTTGCTTGGCTTGGACTAATGGGGCGACTGGAAATGGCGTCAAAATTACTTGTTTGTTCTCTCTTGGTTTTTGAATT